TAGTAAGTCAAACACGTTTTACAGTGGGATATTTATCCTGTAATTTTGACTTTAAGCACTTTATTTAGAGAGATTTTAAAATAAGACTATTGACCTTCATGTGGTATTTATAAACATTGATGATATGATTTATGAAGGTTTTTGGTTCCTGAAGTAAACTAACATTTAGGAAGAGAAAGTTACACATTTTGTTAAAACACTGTTCTCAGCTATGTTTATAGGAAGATTGTTTATAGTTCAAATGTAACTTGTATGTTATTAAAACAATTAGTTATAATTTTGAACATCACACATTCACTGCTACAAGCTTTCCATTAGACACCATCCCCTTTGAAAAGTTCCCAAGAGGAATGTGGGACTTACCCATATATCATCTGACCCTCTTTGCAGTAGCCTTGGTAATGAAGACATCGATATCTAACTCCCCTTAGTTGCTGTTATGACAAAACTTTGCTTCATGAGCGGTAAAAGAAGTTACTGTATGGCCTTGTGAAGTGCATAAAACTTGTTTAAACATGAATATTCCATATACACGCATTATTGGGTAGGGGATGATGAAATCAGATTTCACTTATAAACAAATTGATCAGCATTTTAAGCGTTTCCGCAACTATGTATGGATATAATACAATATATTATATTTAATTTATTATTTTATCTTGATTTCCATGATACTGCAAATACTGTACATTTTACATTCTTTCTTATACACTGCTATAACATTTTTCGGATAGAAATACAAACTTCAGTTTTGTTTTTATAAGAGAGAATTCATTGGTACGGAAGTAAGCTTTTTAAACCTGGAATGCGTATTTTTCCGATTGCTTGGCTTACAACTTAAAGTGAGATTAGAATCAACTTTGTAAGGTTATGATATTGATACACGTGATAGTGATAGATTGTTTATTCTACTTCATTTTAAGACCATGGATACGAGTATAAGTATTTTGATCCTTAACTAATAGTTATAGAACGGATCAACTGCAGTAATCAAAATATGTTTCCGAAAATTAAACATAATTAATTTCTTAAGAACTAAACATTAAAAAATATTAGAATAACAAAACACGCAATGCAAATAGTGCAACTCGACAGATGGAAGTGATTTGAACAGCATTAGAGAATCAAGACATTAATGCCGCCGGCTCCTCCCATTGTGATTCTCTTGTAATCATCGCCTAACCGCTCTCTCTGCTGTAATGTACATCAAGCCGCCCTAGTTCTGCAGTAATCCGGGTAGATGGTGCTGGTGATAAGTTCTAGAGAGACTACTTACATTAGGGTGGCTCTAATGACTTGATGAGATGTGAGCTAATCTTTGTGATTTTGCATTTATTAGTAAATAGTCTAGGCTAATGGGATTTTTTAGTAAGATTATTTTGGTTTATAGCTAACGTACCTAGGCCGTGCCCTAACATGATGTACTTATAAATTGGAAATCATAACGTTACTATAAGTAAAATTGTATTTGTTGTAAGCTTCCGTTCCTTTACCTTTTTTGAGATTATAGCACGGTGTTTCTTTTAATCCTATGGCTTCAAAAACTAAGCATAGTATAATTAAGAAACACAATGCCTTTTTTTATAGGATAGTTAAAAATATTCTGAAATATTTAATAATATATTAAGTTACCATGAAAACATACTAACAATAATAGTAACAATCTCTTTACGAAACCTTAAAAAAATAAGTATCTACCAAATTAACATACTTTGGTATTTAGTTTATTTTTATTTATTTTAAAAAGTAGTTTGAACTAAAAAAAACACGATTATCTGTCAACACGTAAGAGCATGTTAACCTGCAAAGCATTCGTGAATATTTATTACGGTTTGTACTTGAATTTGCATAAATACTAGCTTGAAGTAACAGTTCTTGGTAAACAAACGTCTCCTTGGGGCAAAGGTAAAACTGAATTAACTTTGAAAAGTTGCTAAAACATCTAGATCACGAACTTTGTGAAACAAATTGATTTAAAACCACTTAAATAATGTGACAATGAAAATCTTACAATTGAAAGTTTTGTTCTGTAACCATACTTGTTTCTTAAGAGTGAAGTTAGGTATTGCAACAACATTTATTATCATTGATTACTCTGTTACATGTACGATTTATTGTACTATATGTAAATTAGAATATTTTTAATCGAATTTCAATTTTTGTTTGCTCTTATGATATAATAATATTTGTTTCTGCAATTTCTATAATTTGAATATAATCTTAGTAGTAAACATCTATGTTTTAACATACGTCATAGACATTAAATTGTAAAAAAGAACTGTTAAACTACCAGTCCAGCGTTGTTAGCTAATTTTTGCTGGTTTGATTAGAGAGTAGTATGCTTGATTAAATCATTTGTCTGATTGATAAAATTACCTCTATCTAAAAACAAACTGACGTAATTCATCTTTATATTATTATCTTTATACGTAATTCATCTCTTTTTGGAGATGAACTTTGAAATGTGCGTCCCTGAAATATGGCTGGAATAGGAAACATATTATTGGGATTAGTTCATTACACATATATACCGTATTTCCACACATAAATACATTTTATCTTGAAATACTGTTGCTAGTGTATTGCAAATTGTTAAATGTAACTATGTTTTCGATTTTCTCAACATTTTAAAGCTTTCTTTTAGTATTTACTTAACATCCTTAACCTAAGTAGTTTCACATTAAATCATTTTTAAGCGCTTTAGATTTACAATACAACTTTAGAGAACAAGAGACCCTAATGACTAAGTAACTTTAAGTTTGCTGTTTCGCGTGTACAGCTTGGCTTTTGAGTTTCAGCTTAGTTTTTGGCAAATGGGATTTTCATTTTCATTATTGTGTTTGTATACGTAAATTTAACTATAATATACACTATATATAGTTTTTTAACATGTTGTTACTGTTAAACCAATTCATACAAACTATCAAACGTTAAAAGAAAAACAACTATGGTTTAGTAAATATTTAAATAGTTGTAATATGAAAAGAATAAGAGAAAATATAATCTAAAACGGTTGTCTTTTGTGTTAACTCTAATTTTTCTCATTTTAGTAGTAAAAAATGCAACAGGTTTACTACTATACTTAAAGGACGTTACTGTATGAAACAATAATTTTACTTTTATCTATTTGAGTTTATCATAAATTTATCTTTGCAACAGCTTCTAAAGCACGTACCCGACAACGAGTGTTTATGCAAATCCATCACAGTATATACATATTCATTAGTTTGTTGAAAGTACGGGTTTAAACCAATAGATAAAGAAAAAGCTAACAGAAAATAATTGATGTAGTTAAAATTTTAGATCATAAACCATCATTCATCCAGTTTATTAAAATTAACATGATATGACCCATTTGTAGTTTAGTAATAAAACTTGTTAGGATATCTATAAGGGTTTTAAATTAAATAATAGCCTAAAATAATATTGCGTGTCTTTATGAGAAATATTTTCTTATGCTCAAAAGAAGAAAAAAAACTTAATTTCTTTGTAAAAACCTTTGTTTTTTGTTCATTTGGTAGCTTGAACTAACATTTCTGAAAAAATTCTACATGTAAAATAACGGTGTACTCACACTGGCTTATAACATCCAGCCTATTCCGATCACATTTATCTGATATTTTATATAACTTCCTTATTAGCATTGTATGTGTAGTAAAATTAACAAAAAGTGCAAAAATACGTCAAATTACACTTGAAACATATATTTAAACTTACACCGTTGTTGACGCTGTTGCTGCTAGGTCAAATATATTGTATTAAATTCAGATACTTTACTAACTTTCGTATTTTATAAGTATTCTGTAAAACATTAATAATATTATGTATGATGGACGATTTGAGTGAAACAATACTAGTTCAACAGTTCTCACTAGTAAGATAAAATAACTGTTAATACCGATTTAACATAAAGACTTGTTGTATACAAATTTGTGTTCAAACATAAGTTTTGAAATCATTATCTAGAACATATTTAGTCGAGGCGGTAGTAAATGTAAAAATTCCTCTTGATTAGTTGGGGATAAAAAGAGATCACTTCGCACAACATTTGCAGATATCTAATCTATCATTATTCACTTCACAAGGCATGGTCGTTCACAGCAACACTGAACAGAATTGTCGGTGCTGCAGATCGAAGAACATGCGTGTTAACTTCATGCCAGCAATATTTTTTAATAGTAAAACCCAAGTATTTGGATAACCGTTCTCTAATTTTTCACTTCGCAAGGTCGGTGACAATAAGACTTGTTTAACAATGTTGGTTAAGCAGATCGATGCGTGTGCGTGTTGGTTGTCTTGGTTGAACGGAACATAGTCGGATATCTAATCTCTCACAATTCACTTAAAGAGGCATGGAGTCACAGCAATGTCGGTAATGCAGATTGGTCAGTGTGCGTGTTAGCTTTATGTCAGCAATATGTCTTGGTTGAGTGTAACATAGTCGGATATCTAATCTCTCACAATTCACTTAAAGAGGCATGGAGTCACAGCAATGTCGGTAATGCAGATTGGCCAGTGTGCGTGTTAGCTTTATGTCAGCAATATGTCTTAGTTGGGTGTAACATAGTCGGATATCTAATCTCTCACAATTCACTTAAAGAGGCATGGAGTCACAGCAATGTCGGTAATGCAGATTAGCCAGTGTGCGTGTTAGCTTTATGTCAGCAATATGTCTTAGTTGGGTGTAACATAGTCGGATATCTAATCTCTCACAATTCACTTAAAGAGGCATGGAGTCACAGCAATGTCGGTAATGCAGATTAGCCAGTGTGCGTGTTAGCTTTATGTCAGCAATATGTCTTGGTTGAGTGTAACATAGTCGGATATCTAATCTCTCACAATTCACTTAAGGAAACATGGTTAGTCACAGCAATGTCAGTAATGCAGATTGGTCAGTGTGCGTGTTAGCTTTATTTCAGCAATATGTCTTGGTTGAGTGTAACATAGTCGGATATCTAATCCCTCACAATTCACTTAAGGGAGCATGGTTAGTCACAGAAATGTCGGTAATGCAGATTGGTCAGTATGCGTGTTAGCTTTATGTCAGCAATATGTCATGGTTGAGTGTAACAAGTCAGATACCTAATCTCTCATAATTTACATAGACTAAGGCAGCATAGTTAGTTCACAGCAATGTCAGTAATGCGAATCCATAAGTCTGTGTTTTAGCTTTATGTAACCATTATGCCTTGGTTGAGTGTAACATAGTCAGTTATCCAATCTCTAATAATTTACATAGACTAAGGCAGCATAGTTAGTTCACATCAATGTCAGTAATGCGGATCCATAAGTCTGTGTTTTAGCTTTATGTAACCATTATGCCTTGGTTGAGTGTAACATAGTCAGTTATCCAATCTCTAATAATTTACATAGACTAAGGCAGCATAGTTAGTTCACATCAATGTCAGTAATGCGGATCCATAAGTCTGTGTTTTAGCTTTGACCAAGAAGCGGTCCTCTGCAGAAACCCATTCTCAGCTTATAGGCCTACCTAGGCCTAGTCAAGAATCAAGTCTACAAAATTCCGAATCTGATGACAAAGTGAATGGACAGGAGGCCGGAAACACTGAAAATAGGAATAAAAGCTACTCCCAAGTACTAGCTAGCAATACTGACAGTAGGCCTAGAAACAAAATTAGACCTACAACTTCCAAGACGTCTCAAGAAGAGGTTAGGTTTTCTAAAACTAAGACTAAACCCATTATAGGTTCAAATACTGACAAAAGTGGTCTCAAGCGTGCGGAAAAATCCAAGGCAGTTTTTGTTAGTCGTTGTTCTTCAGATACGGAAAGTAGTGACATTGAATCCTATCTAAAAAGTGAAAATGTTATTTGTAACAAATGTGAGAAACTACCTACCAGGTTTTCAGACTATACAAGTTTCAAGGTAAGCGTCTCTGATAATCTTGTTAAGGACTTATTGAAACCTGAATTTTGGCCCGAGGGAATTTTTGTAAAAGAGTTTGAAGAACGTCGTTCAGGCAGACAAAATAACGTTAAAAGCTACATTCCTTCTCGTACTTTTTTAGGGGATCGTCCGAAAAAATGGGACTAAACATGATGCGGGAAAATCACTCCTCTGTAAATTTTTGTGCATCTAGACCTGTTAGCCAAAACGGCCATAGAGGCCCAAATAATGTAGGTGTAGGCCTAGGACTTTTTAACTTTTGTATATTGTTACTTAATGTACAGTGCCTTTCCACTGCTCGAATTTTAGACCTTGAAATGACACTTGCTCTGAATGATTATAAACTGCTTTGTCTCTCAGAACATTGGCAGTCCGATGAACTTATAAAGTGTACAAACATAAGTGGCTTCTGCCTTATTTCAGCCTATTGCAGAACTTCTCTGAAGCACGGTGGGGTTGCTCTTTTTGGGACACCTAACATAATGAACTCAATCACTGTTATTGATGTTAGTGATTTTTGCGTTGACCTGCATCATGAATATGTTTGCGTTCATTTGCATAGTTGCAGTATTATTTTCATTGGCATTTATAGGTCGCCTGACGGTGATCCCGACAGGTTTTTAGATAGCCTTGAAAGGTTAGTCCTCTCTTTAAGTGTAAGAAGATCTGCGAACAGTGTCGTCATAGGTGGCGACTTCAATGTGAACATCTTGGTAAGAAACAGACTTTCCGAAGATTTTTTAAACCTTTTAAGGTCCCTTGACCTCTATTGTTCTGTGTGGGAGCCTACTCGGGGCACTTCCTGCCTGGACAATGTAGCAACCGATTTATCTAATGACTGCTTTAATGCAGAGGTCCTTAGCTATGCCATTGCAGACCATGAAGCAATTAAGTTTAGCATAAGGGATAAGCAGGCAGATGGTAACGTCTCGAAGCATGGTACTATATCTAAGTTGTATAGGCCCTTTCCTGTAAGTAAAATACATAGCTTTGTGGGTGATCTCTTTAACATAGACTGGTATGTTCTACTTCAAGGTGGTAATGCTAACAAAAAATTTAACCAGTTTTTAAATACTTTTCTAATGTTGGTTAACGAGTGGTTTCCCAAAAAACCCCTCCGGCCCCGTAAGAATCTAAAAAACTCCATCCAGCCCTATGCAGACAATCCCACTTTACTAACCTTAAGAAAGTGGAAACTTTTAACCTATGATATGTACAAGGTATCCAAAACTCCTGAAGCTAAAGCAAGATATCTGCGAGTCAAAAATGAATACCAAGAAAGCCTTAAGCTTGCCAGATTTGAAAGTAATGTCAAATTCATTGAATCTGCACAAAATCCTTGTTCTGCAGCTTGGACGGTTATAAAGAGAGAAGTGGTTCCAACAAAACCTTTACAGCTGACCAACCTAACACCCAGTGAGTTCAACGAATTTTTTGTGAACTCGGTCCAACAGACCCGTGACGCTATTGGAATCCCCCCTACCTCTGGCCTAGAACTACTGGGAAAACATCCTCCACCTACTAGTACCTTTCACATGTCCCCAGTTTCATGTGATAAAGTCATATCTGTAGTGCAAGGGTTAAAGAATTCTTCTAGCAGAGACATATATGATATCTCTACTAGTTTTGTGAAACAGATAATTTTCTCTATAGTTAGCCCATTAACTTACTGTATCAATTGTTGTATTTTAGAAGGTATTTTCCCTGATGTTTTAAAAATTGCCAGGGTTGTGCCTATTCACAAGAAAGGCAATCCCAACCTGCCAGAGAATTTTAGACCAATTTCTATTCTGCCATCTTTCTCTAAGATCCTTGAGTTTATTATTAAAGAACAGCTCTCTCTGTATTTTGAAGCAAATAATCTGTTCTCAGCTGCCCAGTTTGGTTTCAGGCCTCACCGCAGCACTACTGATGCGGTTGACAAGTTAATAAAGGCAGCTTTTCAGTCTTTTGAGGATGGGGGCTTTGCTGGGGCCACTCTTTGTGACCTCAGCAAGGCCTTTGACATGGTGGATCATGACACCCTCCTGGGAAAGTTAAATTTCTATGGGGTTAAGGGGAAACTTTTTGAACTGTTTGAGTCATACCTGACTGGACGTGGGCAGCTGGTTTGTATAAATGGCAGACAATCCAGTGTACAGCAATTGACCCATGGTGTACCTCAGGGCTCAATTCTTGGTCCCTTACTCTTCAATGTCATGCTTAATGATCTCGCTTTGTGTTTGGGGCAAGGTGTCATCTGTTACGCAGATGATACTACACTCTTTGAAACTAGTAATGAACTGGGAGATCTTGAGGAAGCCATGAAACGATCTCTTGAGGGGGCATCGGCCTGGTTCCGAGCAAATCACTTTTTTCTAAATGAGACAAAGACTAAGTCAATAATCTTTAGCCTAAGAAACTTAGAACATAGTGTGAAATCTGTCAAACTTCTAGGCTTACATCTCGATAATAAAGTAGACTGGAATGACCAGATTAGCCATGTTTGTGCTAGACTTTCCAGAGCTCTGTGTCTACTCAGAAGACTGAGATATTTTGTACCAAAGGACTGGCTGAAAACTGCTTATATTGCTTTCTTTCAGAGTATTTTATTGTATGGCCTAAGGCTCTGGGGTGCCGCCTCTGGGGTCAAGAGAGTTCTGCGCTATCAAAAGAAAGCAGTTAGAGTAGTAGCTGGTGCTGATTACTTGGACCATTGCAAACCCATATTTGTAGCTGAGAACTTAATGACAGTTTGTAACCTCTATATTTTTCAGTCCTTGATCAAAATCAAGAAGGAATGGGATTCTCTTGAGCTGAGAGGCGACATCCATCCCTATAATACACGTAGGAAAAATGATATCAATTTACCACATGTTAGATTAAGTAAAGTTCAGATGTCGAATGAGATTCTAAGTTATAAGTTTTTTAATAAACTTCCTTTTGCAGCTCGGAACCTGCCGGACCCAAAATTTAGAAAAGGTGTTGAGGGGCTCCTTTTGGCAAACCCTTTGTACAAAAACAGAGAATTTTTTGATTTGAAAGAAGAACTTGTAAGTAGTTTTTTTTAGTTTTTCAACCGAGTGCTGTGTGCTGTTTTTTTTTCTTCTCTTTGCATGGAGAGTTTCAGGAATGTAATTCTTTATATTGGTAAGAAACCTTGTACCATTGTCTTATTTTAGTTTCTATTCTTTTTTAGCTATAGTTGACTGACGTTTTCCAGCAATGTAACCACATTTTATGGAAATAAAAATTCTTGATTCTTGATTCTTGATTCTTGATTCTTGATTCTTGATTCTTGATTCTTGATTCTTGATTCTTTATGTAACCATTATGCCTTGTTTGAGTGTAACATAGTCAGTTATCTAATCTCTAATAATTTACATAGACTAAGGCAGCATAGTTAGTTCACATCAATGTCAGTAATGCGGATCCATAAGTCTGTGTTTTAGCTTAATCTCAGCAATATGTCTTGGTTGAGTTTAACATAGTCAGATATCTAATCTCTCATTAATTACATGGACTAAGGCAGCATAGTTAGTTCACAGCAATGTCAGTAATGCGAATCCACAAGTCTGTGTTTTAATTTAGCTTAATGTAACCATTAAACTTATGTCTTGGTTGAGTGTAATATAGCCGGATATCTAATCTCTCACAATTCACTTAAGGAAGCATGGTTAGTCACAGCAATGTCGGTAATGCAGATTGTCAGAATGCGTGTTAGCTTTATGTCAGCAATATGTCTTGGTTGAGTGTAACATAGTCGGATATCTAATCTCTCACAATTCACTTAAGGAAGCATGGATAGTCACAGCAATGTCGGTAATGCAGATTGGTCAGTGTGCGTGTTAGCTTTATGTCAGCAATATGTCTTGGTTGAGTGTAACATAGTCAGATATCTAATATCTCATTATTTACATAAAGGCAGCGTAGTTAGTTCATAGCAATGTCAGTAATGCGGATCTATAAGTCTGTGTTTTAGCTTAATGTCAGCAATATGTCTTGGTTGAGTGTAACATAATCAGATATTCGACCCCCCATTCATTATTATTTGATACATCATGGTCAGCCACATTAAAACCTACCAGCAATGTCGATATTGCAGATCGATTAGTGTGCGTGCTGGTTTCATGCCAACGTTATATGGTTAGTTAATGAATGCCATTACTGCAGGTTGATTAATTCGCAACGCTAACTCTACTGAGTTTATTATGCAAATTATGCGATATTACCCCACCTAATTAGATTCTTGCATATAGATATTGATAACCCTACTATTTGGTTTGGTAGGATAATTTGCTCATGTAAATCTATGTATTTTATTTACAATTTCCTATAATATTCATAGAGTTGCTAAGGGCAACCTAACCATAATTTAAAAGAAAATGTGACTTCTTGATCACCATTGTACGTGTTATTAAATTTACGGAAAGTAAATAAAGATACGTCTTATAACACTTAAAACATAGATTTACGCTTATACTGTTACTCACAAGACGGTAAATATACAAAAGATGGTAAGTGGTGATCGATTTCGATTGGACACTCCAATCATCATCAGACCCAATAGGCGAATGTCATCGCCTATTGGGTCTGATGATGATTGGAGTGTAATATTATCTCATGGATAAAAGCCAATGTGGTTGGTGAGATTTGAACCAGGCATTTCAAGACTATAACTTCCTTACTCTACACCTACTGCACCCACCCCCTCGTTATTATACATTTTCCATTACAATAGTGCATTTGTATTTGCCAATCAACAATTTAATTACGTGGTTACTTACATAACAAATACACATACTCTACAAATTGTACCAATTGTTATTAGAATATCTGTAAAAGCCTCCACTGGGCGTTAAAGGCAGTTTAACAAATGACACATCCCACGAGACCTATAAAATACATAATTTCGATGTATTGGAAAAACATTGCAATGGAACACGATTGTGGTTTGTTTTGTACAAACAATTAACCCGTTCAAATAACGAGGATTTGATATTGTATCTTGTAAACATAACAACTGTGTTTGATTATTTTCAACAATTTTTTGGATAAAATTTTACACATTCGTTATGCTTTCGTTGCACCAAGTAAATTTTTGAAACTGAGCTAAACTTTCTAACACGTACGAGTTCTATTGAGTTTTGGTCAAAAGATTAGAATTTTAAAATGTCGTCTTTATTCTATTTTGTAACTAACTTTGTTTGCGAGAAGGGTTTTAACAGTTAGTTAGTTATGATTTTTTTTAACTTTCTGTTACGATCAACCGATAGAGAAAGAAAGTTTCCAGGGATTAGGGTATGAAAACAAACGTAAAATATTAAAATCAGTGTTGTCACAATATAATTTTAAAATATATTGTTTTATACGACCAACCATTCGAAACATATAATTCTCATTTCATCTACGTACTTCTAGATGTCCAAATAAACAAACCTTGTGGTAATATATCTCAATACTTTTCACAGTCTTTCTTAAGGTCTTTTAACTTCTTATCTATGATGAAATATAACCATTCACCATTACTGCCATCCATGTTCGCAATCCCTACTTACACTATATAAAATTTAAAGGCCAAAAGTTGTAGTTTGTTTGAGAAAACACAAACTTTGAGCTCCTTCATAGTTTACCAAGCTGGCAAGTATATACAGAAAATTGAACTTTGTTCCGAGAAAATATAGCTTGATTAACTGGGTTGGTTTTAGTAAAAAGCATGTTTAAATACAACATTTAATAAGTATTTTTAAATAACTGTTGTGGTTGGTAATCTAACACTTTTGGATCATTTCGAGGAAACATTATGTAAACTCCCAATAGTAAAAATTAACACAGCAATGAACATAGTGATTTTTTTTTCAATGTCCAAAAATCCCTTAAAACTGTGAAAAGGGGTTTTCATCAATTATTATTTTTTTATATAAGATCAAACAAATAAACTATTCTATAATTTTGCCCCTATAGATTGCCAACATTTTTAAAGCTAAACGAAGTACGTTGTCTCTAGGGAGGAAAAGATGATTGCATGTTTTTTTTTATTGCATGTATACACCTTGCCAAGATAATATATTTCAATACAAAAATTTTTTATGTTTTGGAGTATTTAGCTTGGCAGTACAACTGCGTACTCAAAGTTTGCAACAAACTGACCAAAAAAGGAATCATTCTGGCTACAGAACTGGCTACTAGGCTACTAAGGTAGCCAGTGCGCCACCAGCTACTGTCGCTGGCTACGTCACCAGAACACCTCTTTTAATACGGCTCTAAGCAAACGTTATAATTTAAATGCTTGGACACAAATTTAAAAGGCAATTGATTTTTGTTTCGAGATGATACAGTGGCAAATAAATAATTCATTGTAAAATGAGGCATTTGGAGTTATTGAAAATAGTTAAAAATAATTTTCTAATCTAGTTTTGTGTAAATAAAAGTTTATTCAAAAAAAGAAATTCAGGATAATAGTATACACTGAGATGCATTATTGTTTTCCTAATTTGCAAATAATGAGTTTATACAACACAAGCAATTTGTCACATAATTATGAGTGTCTGCCATCGCAAATCATCTTTGTGGAATTTTTTGTTGTAAACTGTTCATTATAAACAGAGGTTTAAATCCCATCGCTGTTTCCTCCTTTTAATATTACTAAAATAAGATTGCATAGATTTACGTTGTGTTTAACCCTTTAAAATATATACAATTTATTGAATTTCTATGAACATGTTTGTTTGAAACCCTCGATAAAGAGACGTCACGATGGATTTATATTTTGCAGAATTGCTGTAACGGGAGTCTTTATTATTTAACTGGTGAAGATCTGATGAAGCAGGAATATGCAGGGTTCGTGCACTTTACTGCCTACATCAACGTTATTATCTCCGTTACACCCAGGTTTTACAACATCATTACATCTCCGTCGTTATTCGACGTAAGAATAATAAAGAAGATAATATTTGAAGTAATAAGGCCCCTAATTGGACCTTTGGCACAAACATATTATTACGTTCTTTACAGCTGCACTTTCAGCATAGCATATTGTAATTTTTCTAGTAATGACATTTTACTAAGGTTTGGTGGCACATTTTGATTTCGGATAATGTAGGCCTAAACTGCGAATA